CCCGGGCCCCGGGGGTGAGCCAGGGGTTCCCGGCCGCGCATCGCGGCTGCTGCCGTACGGGCGATTTGCTGCCGAGACCTTTTCGTGGAGGAGAGAGGGCGAGAGAGCCGGGTTTGAGAGAAGGCAGAGGTGGAGGAGCAGCCCCCAGCTCCGCTCTGCGACACCCCCGTGTCGGGGGAAGTCCAGCAGAGGCAGGGACAACGGTCACCGGCACCCGGGGCTCCGGCAGCACCGTGCGGGACGGGACGGCCCGGTCCCTCTCTTCGGCACCACAGGGAAGGAGTGGGAGGGGAAACACGGCTCTTGTCTGGCCCTTGCCCGAGTCTCTTTCCCCCCCTTCCCGCTTTGATTTGCCCGGCCGGGGGGACCCCGCGGTGGGGGCGCGGGGGTGTGCGGGGGCGGCCGCCGGCGGAGCGGCCCGCACCTCGGGACGGGCCCCCTGCCCGGCCACGCGTGCCCTTTCTCCGTGTGGAAACACTCCGACCCCGCGTCTCCCACCCTTCCCTCCCCGCCGCCTTTTCCCTCCGAGTCTTCAACGATTTCCTACCTGAAAAAAAAATAAAAATTAATCTTTTTGCCAGGCGGGTCACAAGCGATCAACAGGCTGTTGTATATTATAATGTTTTCATATTCCTCTCGGCTCCCCCTGCCCTCTACCGACTCACTGTAGATGTGACCTTTGGTATTTCAGCCCACACTCAGCAGTTGAATGGAAACAAGTTGAGCACGTTCACTTCTGATAAACATTATCCTTAAACCACTGGAGACCCGAGCAGAGTAAACGAGCTTTTCCGACAGGACCACATCAGGAACACACATTGAGAAAGGGAAAGAAACCAAATATCCAGGAGATCAGAGGCGGGCTCGGGGGTGGAGGGGTGGGAGAGGGAAGAAGAGGGAACAGGTTAGAGGACACGGCGGGGGGGGGGAGGGAGAAAAGGACACAATTGTGAGCACAATAGGCACAGATGGGGAGAGAAACTCCCCGGGCAGCGTGGGAGAGCAGCGCAGGGTCACGTCCGAGCATCCCAGCAGCCCTGGAGGAGCTTCCCGGCAGGCAGAGCCCGCAGAAGCACGCCTCCCGGGCGGGCAGCCGTGCGGGGATCCCTCCAGCCACTCTGCCTCGGGAAGAAGCACGCTGTTCATGCGGATCGGAAGTCTTACGGAACGCACCCCCTTCCATTGTTTAATTACATAATTAACTTAATTAAAGGCTGGATCCGGGTCCCACTAGTTCAATGCCTCCTGCTTTAAAAATATCCAGAGCAGGTCAGCTCTGCCTTAAAAATATGCAGAGCGGGTCAGCTCACAACACCCCAAGGAATGCCTGCGCAGCACGCCAACGCTTTCGGACGATGGCATTTGCGCGGGGCGAGGGGTGGTGGCGGTGTCCCCTGGACCATAAAGAGGTAACTTTATCTAGTTTGAGGAAGCAACACGACTTAGAAGTGTGATATGCGGAATGGGCACGGGCAATTCACGTTTCTGAAATAATCTCAAAACTGCCATAGAAAATTTGTTGTTGTTGGGTTGTTTTGGTTTGGTTTTGTGTATTTTTTTTTAATCCTTGTGAAGGAAACAGACATATCCGCCGATATTCCGATCAAATAAAGAGATACCTGCGGAAGAACCACGATCGCCTTCTTTCCATCACAAGAATCACGCCATTAATTTCTGAGCAATGTCCTGCAACATCCTGCTTTTAACTATACGTTCATTGCGACATGCGCAGGCTCTGGAATCTAGCTCGATTAATTTGTTTGTTAGGTCGGTTGGTTGTTTTTTTCCTAAAAATATCTTACAATCATTTCAATTGCAATAATATTTATAGTGTTCGTATACACCAGCGACATCAATTTCGTATTTTACATGCTGTTATTTCGGGCACTCCGGTCACCACATTATTTCTTTTCAGGTTTTATTTAATTTATAGAGCCTGTGCCTTCGAGACTCTATCAAAAAAAAAAAAAAAGAAAAAAAAGAAAAAAAAGAAAGAAAATAGAACAAACAAACAAAACAAGCAAAAAAGAATTTTAGGAAAAAATAAAGGAAAACATGATAAATTTTTGGTCGGAGATGGGAAGCAACATGTGTGCAACATGATGTACGTGGGATGCATGTAAAAGGCACACAGACAAGCTCACCGATCAGGACCCGTGCCCTAGTGCCAAACCAAACACTTCTTCCACATACACAAACACGCCGTGACCCACACATACTTTAATTCCTACCAGCTTTGTCTGTTTTTCTTTTAGCTGTTAATAAGCAGCAGTGTCTGTGATAAAGTTGAAATCGGCTGCGAGGGGTAGAGTTAAGCGCGGTGCAGCGTTTAGCGTGGGGATTAAAACCAGGGCAGGACCCGTCTCCGGTGCCCGGGGAATGTCAGCATCCCGGTGCCCGGGCTCCTCCCGGGGCAAGCGACGTTGCAGCCCGTTTCCCGACCGGTGGGTGGTTTCCACCCAAAATAAGCCAACGCTCCCCGCTCACAGCTTCCTCGTAGGCCACCCGTGAAATATTCGTTAGCGAAAAAGTGCTTTATTACGAGGAGGCGACCCTCAGCGAGGAAGGACTTTTCTCCCGCGTCTGCGCAGCCAACGCGGGACAAAGTGCGCGTGTGGGAGACGCCGCGCTGCTCCGACGGGGACAAGGGGGGCTGCGAGCCCCTCTGCCAGCCCCCCAGCCCCTTCCCCGGCCCCGCTTGCTGCGGGAGACGGGCCGGGCCGGCCCCGACGGTGCCCCCCGTCCCCCCGGTGCCCGCCGCCCCAGCGATGCCCGCCCCGCCGCCCCGGCACCCGCCGCACTTACCGCCGGGCAGGTAGGGGAGAGCCATGGCCGTAGCGGCGAGGACCCAGGTGCCGGTCCCGCCCGCCGGGCAGAGCGGAAGGGCCGCCGGGCTCCGCGCTGTCCGTCATCTCCCGCGGCCATTGGGAGGGCGTCTGGGCGGTGGGGCCGCCCCCCGGGGGGCGGGCTCGGGGGAGCTGTGGGCCGCGGCGCCCTGCCCAGCCCCGGCCCTGCCCACGTTGCCCCGAGGTTGAAATGCACAAGTCAAGGCTCTCTCCTCGGGAAGCAGATTGCCTTGTAGCCCTTTTCCCCTCACGCCTCCTCGGTGGCGAGCGGAGAGCCTCGGGGGCTAGCGGCTAACCGGGAGCCCGGCTGCGGGCACAGGTCTCCGTGCGGGATTTAGGGCAGCCCCGGAGGTGTCCCGCTCGGAGGAATGGGTAAGTGGCCGGGAGCCGCAGGAGGGTTCAAGTGCTGTCAAGAGAGGGGGAGCACCCGTGCGCCGTCGTCTGCTCCCTTATTGACTTTGCTCGTGTTCCTACAAGTTGTAAGAACACGTTAAGGGTCAGGAGCGGGGGAGAGAGAAAAGCTAATGACTGCTCGGTTTATTATTAATGCTATTAGGCGAGCGCGAGGCGGGATCGCAGCCGGGTGGACGGCTGGAGCCTGCGGCACGTTGTATATTATTCCTGACACCGATCTTAGCAGTTAACATTTTAGCACGTTTGTTTTACAGCCTGGTGTAATTGTGCCGTTAAGCGAGAGGCGCTAACAGCACCAGAAACGGTCTTTAAAAAAGTTAGTCGCGACTCAGAAGCACCGCGTTGCCCTCGCCTCTCCCAAGATGTAAAAGAATTTCCTCAACTACTTTTCCTTCCTCCCCCTCCCCCACATCTCCGAAAATGTTTTTCTTTTCTTTCTCTTTTCTTCGTGTTCCTTTTTCCTGTGGCAATAAAGCTGGCTTGTCTGTTGGCGCGATCTCGTTTTTCATTTCTGGAATGTGCTTTTTTGGAATATGCTTGATGCACAGTCCGGGGAGCTCTGACATTTGTTGCCACGGGTTTTCTTTTTTTTTTTTTTTTTTTTTCTTTTTCCTTTATTTTTTTTTTTTTTTTTTCTTTTTTTTTTTTTTTTTTTTTTTTTTTTTAAAAAAAAAAAAAAAAAAAAAAAAAAAAAAAAAAAAAAAAAAAAAAAAAAGTTCTAGGAAAAATATTAAACCC